AAATAAATAAATAAATAAAGCTTGAACTAAAATATATAGAAATACATGGGAAAGGTATTGGAAGTCCCCTACTCCCAAATTACCAAATTCTGTTTAACAAAACTGTATCTAAGAACCTTTTCAGATATGGAAATTAAGTTTTTGTTTTCAATATGTTACAGGTTATAGAATCAAACAAATTCTCTGTACTTAAATTAAGGTTTTTAAAAGGTCCTAAGAAGGACTGTGTGACCAGAGAAATCGATTTTTTTAAATTTTATTTTAGAAACAGAGACTTTGTAAGTTTTCACAATCACCAAAATTTAATATAAATCAGGACAGTTGAGTTAGTTGTACAGTTCCATTTATTCATTTGTGCATTTATTAAGAACGGAACCTATTTCATTAATTATGTGTTAAGAGATTACCTACCCTTTGCCCAATTCAATACTAAGTTTTGCTCAGTGTTACTTGAAATTTCCAAGCAAGCACAGGAAGTTTTGGAGGAAATCTGAATCAATATCTATATTTGAATATTGGTGGAAGAACCAGCACCTTCCTGTTCAATTGAACATCTTCAGAAGCGTATTCTGACCTCAGTTGGTGAAGATTTGAACCTCAGGAGTCCTTTGATACCTGTTTGGATAACTCAGCATTCACTGTGTTTAGTTGTGTCTGAACTGGGAACTGACTCTTGACCTGTTTCTATCCTTAGGTCTGGCGGGAATTCCCTGACCGGTTGGTGGGTTACCCGGGTCGCCTGCATCTCTGGGACCATGAGATGAATAAGTGGAAGTACGAGTCTGAGTGGACCAATGAAGTGTCCATGGTGCTCACAGGGGCAGCGTTTTATCACAAGGTGAGGCGGGGAGCAGCTTGGGGTAAGTGGGTCTGAGCTGATAAAAGTGAGAGTATGATACTCGTTTTATTGGCCAAATGAATTTTTGCCAAATTTAGGAAAAATGTTCTACCCAGTGGGCTTAGAAAGTCCATGGTGTATATTTAAAAATAATAATAAAGTTATTTTTCTAGTTATAAAATAATACATGCTCATAATAGGAAATGTGGAAAATTCGGAACAAATTTTATTGTACAAGAAAAGTCTCTTGCACATGACTTAGAACTATTATTAGAGGTTTAGATGTTTTTTCCACTTTGCCTTTTATTTATTTACTTTTCCGCATTCACACAGACAGTTGTAAATATTCTCATTAGGCTGCTTTTTTCATGTATTATGGTGTGAGCATTTTCTCATGTCATTAACATGTCTTCATAAATAATTTTTATCTTAACATACTTGCTAATATACCATTATATTAGTATTCCATAAATTATGTGTAACTATTATTCTATCCTTGGGTATTTAGGTTGTTTCTAACTTTTTTACTATTTTAGATAACGCTTAATAGCTAATGATTAAGTAATTATTAATATTCATTTTTCATAACTGTTTGTACTTCTGATCATTATGATAGATTCCTAGAAGTAGAAATCTGCCAAAGGGAATGAACATTTTGGGGAGGTTTTGATAGACATCTCTGTTGTTTTCAGTATTGTTTGTACCAATGTCCAGTCCCACCAGCAAAATATAAAACTATCTTACCATACCCTCCCTTGGATGAAATGCAGGTGAAAATGGATCATATTGTTTTAACTGATCTGGTTACTAGTGAGATTGCAATTCCTTCTGTGTATTGACGAAACTTTTGTATTCTCTTCTAAGAACTGACGCTTCATGTTTTTGACATTTTTAATTAGGGAATGATGGAAGGGTATGCATTGGACTTTAGAATATTTGGTTTGATGATACAGTGTTCCCTGGAAGTGTATGGTTTAATTAAATAGCAACAAACTTGTACATTGTCAGCAGTGGCATAAGGAACTGATGTCAAGAGAAAGATCTATTCAACCCAACACAGTTAACTTAACTTAGCTATATCTATATTGATTGCTTGTAGTTATCTCAGCACTGCTGCCCTCATATTTTTCAGGACTCTAGATCCAGAAATGATTTTTTGTTCTTAGCAATAAATAAGACTTAGAATTCTTGGGGTTTATAGTAGTTGATAGTGTATACTTTTTTTTATTTTTGCCCATAAGTTTCTCTACTATTTCATATGTGTAGATTATGGTAGTTTCAGAATTGCCTCATTTTTGTTTTACTTTAAAAAGCATGTACCTTTGCAATGTCAATCCACTGTTAATTTGTGTCTGTTTCTATTTGCAACCTATGGAAAGAATAGAGAAAATAGGATGGAGCATTGTAACTCCAGTGGAAGGATTTACTAAAGATCAATATGTAGTGTGTCTGAACAATATTTGTAAAACACACGGTACATTAATCAGTCAGTCCAAAGGGCCTGCATCCTCCAAGGGCTTCATGTTGTACCTCTTCTCTGCTTACAATAGGTGATTTTGAAAAGAATGACGATATAAAAGATCTTGGTCGCCTGACCAAAAGCATTCTAATACTTCTTTTGACCGTTCTGTTGATAGAGCCTTGTGGTTTATCTTATGAGAGAAAGCTTGTCCCTATGCTATGACAAAGTCGCCCTTTATCTGTCAGCCAGAGGGAGCTGCTATTTGAATGGTTCTTCTTTTTGTCTCACTTAATAGTATTTCAATTACTTGTATACCTACAAAATGCCTGGGGATATCAAGAACTGGGTGGATGCTCATATGAACTGTGAAGACATCGCCATGAATTTCCTGGTGGCTAACGTCACGGGGAAGGCTGTCATCAAGGTAGGAGGCGTCCTTGTCCAGCTCTGCCACCAATTTGCTTTGTGATCTGGGGGAAGTCTCTTTTTCTCTGAGCCTGAGACGTTCTCATAACGGTAAACAAAGGATTGGACTAGATGAACTTTAAGCTCCCTTCTCACTTTAAGATTCTATGATTGACACTGTCACATTGTAAAATTGAAGGTAGGCTTTGATAGTTTAAACATATTTTCTGTTTTTATACAGTTTTCTTAAATTATAGTTTTTAGCCTTCAGTATCAGAGGTAAAGGCTATGATGGTCAATCCACAAATCGTGTGTTAACAAAAATTCATTTTATTCTCAAAGCTGATTTGGAATCTAGCTCTGTTAACTAAAGGACACGGCTTATATCTTTTTTAAGGTGGCCAATTTTTTTAAATAGGTGTTGAGAAAATAGTGTACTTTATACAACTATTGTTGTAATCATTGTAATTGTCCTAAACATTGTTTTTAAATATCAGTTACTGGGTTTTACAAATGACCTTTTCTATAATATATTAAAAGCTGAGAGTCCGTAAAGATCCTGTGGGGATGGATATCTGTCCTTGAAATGTAGATTTTGCTGAAATCAGAACCCTAGATACGTAAGGAGAGCACACACTTCTTTACAAGAGTGGAATCACCTTGGCCTTTTTCGTTCTGGATTAGAATTCCATGTATGATAGTGGACAGCACTTCTAGTCCAGATTTCTAAGACTGGAATCTTCCTATACTGGAGGTTTGTATTGGAAGCATAGTATGGCATTCCCCCACTGACTCCTCGTACCATTAATTGATGAGAGAAGCCAGATTAAACCAAAGTGACTAAGGAGAGAGGAAAAGTCACCATCTCTGCTCTCCAAACTTAACCCAATCCCCACCTGACCTCCCCACCCTCTAAATGACTCTGTGAACAGCTCACTGCAAAGAAAATTAAAGAATGTAATTTACGAAACTCGTTTTAAGGGAAGTTTATCTCCAAACCTGCTTTTTGACATGCTTCGAGATGTGTTCAGCTGTGCTTGCTTACTCTGGACAGTAATTCCTGGTGTCTGAGTGCTTCTTAACCCTGCCTTAGTTTAGTTATCTAGCTTTCTTCCCCTCCCATCCCTCTACTGTTTACTGATCTTCACTAGGGGAGGATAGCAGCCTCCCCTGAGTTTCCTAGAAAGAGCATTAGAAGTTCAAGATTTGGGAGGTGGGGAGAACCAGGGATAAAGGTTCAGAGGGTGAGAGACCATTGGACTTCTTTCCCGATTCAAGGGAATTGCAAAATAACCTGGCATCTTCAAGAGCCTGGTGTTTGCTGCTCAGAGCGTTTGCCGTTAGCTGGAAGGAGGAGAAAGAGCGCCTGTTGGAACTAAGGTTACTGTGAAAGTTATGGGAAGCTGTATTTCATCGCCCTTATGGCTGCAAGAACAAATGGTGTTTATACAAGGACCTTGGCAGTGAGAAAACAGTCATTAAACAGGAATTAAGGAGCTTGTCATCACCACTTCTTTCCAGTTACAGAAGGCAAAAGCCCTCCAAGCCTTTTTATTGGGCCCTTGTGAGTTCTGCCGTTGGCCGGGCCAGACAGAATGGAATGGAGGAGTGGTGAGGTGTGTGCGCGTGCGTGCATGCGTGTGTGTGTGTGTGTGTGTGTGTGTGTGTGTGTGTGTGTGTGTNGTGTGTGTGTGTGTGTGTGTGTGTGTGTGTGTGTGTGTGTGTGTGTGTAGAGGGAGCAGGCATCTCCACTTGCAGAACAGAAGCATGCATAGTGGTGTCACACACATGATTTTATTGTCCTTGGCACTGACAGCCAGGTATATTTTTGTGCTCCTCTGGCAGGTAACACCACGCAAGAAATTCAAGTGTCCTGAGTGCACAGCCATTGATGGGCTTTCGCTAGACCAGACACACATGGTGGAGAGGTGAGTGAGCCTCTTACCGAAAGTCCACCCTATCCTCTGGTCCCCATTTCCTGCCTTGGGCCTGTTTATGGGACTTTTTCGGAGATGTAAGGACCGCCACTGGTAGCCATAGTTGCCTCCTTTTGCACTGTGGCAATTGGATTAGTTCAAGCCCAGGTTACTCAAAGAATTAATTTGGAATGCTACGCACTCAATTTGTAATGGCTGGAAGGGTCTTAAAAATATGACCGGCCTAAGCTTCAGGAGCCATATTTTCCATTCGGATTGTGCAGTTAACCATCCACAGTCATTTGAGTGGAAGCTGGTTAATTCCAAGGAAATACTGGGTTGTTTTTCAGGGTAATATCTCCACATTACACTAAAAGTATGATTAGAAGGAATTGAACTAAACCCACCAGAGACAAATTACCTTTGCTGACACTCCTCAAACACCTACCGAGAACAGAATTGAAAGCACAGCTCTACATTATGGTCAGAGAGGAGCACGGCAGCTCTGAAATATACTCTGTTTCCATTCAGTCAGTTCTCCAACAGACACCTTTGTGTAGAATGTAACACCAGGCCTTGTAGGTGAGTATGGAAGGAGTGGAGATGTATGTCTTCCCTTAAGACTGTTATAATCTCATAATAGCCCTAGTAGTTCTCACTTTTATCCCAGAGGGCCCCGAGTTTCAAATCTCATGAATCAAACCCAATTCTTCCAAAAGGCAGCTCCTTATACAAGACAGCAAGCTCTGACATCCAGTAGCTCTGTTATCAAGAGACCACAATTCACTCAGAGAATGTTATAGTAGCGCCACAGAATGGAGTGTCTAGCTCAGGTCCCCACAGGTCTCATATGCATCTGTTCGCAGCGTTTGTTTCTGAAATCTGTCAGCCATGTTAAAATCCTTCCAACCTAGAGGATTGTTTTGTACAAAAAGTTTTTTCAGTTGGCCTGGATTCTTCTGTAATGCTTTACTCCTTCTTACTCTCATTCTCTAAATAATCTCTTTATCTGTTTCGTATATAAATATCTTACCCAAATGACATGACTTTTACCAACTGTCAATGTGAAATAATATATTGTGATTTTGGAAATATCTGTCACTGGTACCATAAATATTACACTCTCAAGGGTGGTGACATTAACTGTCATAGCTCGTTTGGAAGAGACCCCAACTATAGTTCTATTGAAGCACATGATATTGTTACTTAAACCTACCAAGCATTAAGCAGTTGGTTATTGATTGGGCTCAGTTAAAATGGTGGGGTTATATGGTCCAAGAAAGGAATTGTAGGTAGAAAAGTTGACCTGATACTGGCCTTGAAGTTCATGCTAAGGCCAAATACTGTAGCACTGCTGAGATCATAACAAATGGAAAGAGACTTAAAATGCAGTGAGAGATTTAAGTTGGATATATTTATCACTGAACACCGAAGAAAGTAAGTAAGGGAGGTGTGGAAGAAGCTTTGAAAATACAGTAGGCAACTGCCCAGATGTTGTTAGGCTTGACTCAGATGATATCAGAGGTTATAATTAACAACAATACACACACACACACACACACACACACACACACACACACACACACATACACACATATATAATGCGTGTGTGTGTGTGTGTGTATATATATAAAACTTAATCCAAAGCTATATGTAGTAAATGCCATAAGGGAGGCCCAAAATGGTATAATTGATTAGAGGAAAAAGAAGTGACTTCTTGCTCAGTTGATTATTAGGAATAATTTTGTAAGAGATGGCATTTGAAGTGAGCCTTCAAAGATCACTGGGATCCCAGCCTGTGAAACTCTGGGCAAGAAGAAGAGACCCTAGGCTGAGGAAACTGGTTGGGCAAAGGTGCCAATCAGTAAGTTCAAGGTGTGTTTGACCTGCATCTAGGAAGCTCAACTTTGGCTGGAGCATAGAATTCTGGCCTGTTAGTACCCAACTGCAAAGGGCTTTGAAGCCCCGGTTAAGGGGCTCTTCAGGCAATGGTAAACCACAGACGGTTTTTGAACAGGGGAGTAGCTTGATCGTAATATTGTTTTGAGATTAATTTGGAAGTAATGCATAGGAAAGAATGAAAGTGAAGAGCCTGAAGAAAGAACAGTTAGGAGGCTTGAACTAAGTTGGGTGTGGAAAGGAGGGGATGAATTAAATCACAAGAGACTTTTTCCCCCCCAAAGGAAGATGTGCTAGAACTTGATTTCCAACTAAATAGTTATGGGAAGGTTATAGAGAAGGAGTCGACAGAGGTAACTTCTAGATTTTGAGTCAAGGCGAATAGTAGTACCTTTAAGAGTGTAAATAATACAGTCAGGAGGAAGTGCTAATTAGGGGAGAGGTGGGGTGAATAACTGTACCTTTGACAGTATAATTAATGAGAATAAGAGATTTTAATCATGGGTGAAGCTGAAGAGCAATCAGGTAGGTGATTGGGGATTTTGCCCCAGTATATGCAGGTGTAGAAATGGGGAACTAGAACTTTAGAAAGAAGATTAAAACAAAGACAGATGTTTGGAAGACATCTACCCAGAGATGGCAATTGACTGAAGAAAATCCAAGGGCAGAATCTTGGGAAATGCTGTCATTTATGAGACAGAAGGAGTCACTGAAAACAAGCAACCCCTGGAGAGGCCAGGAGAGAACCCGGATCTGCAGTGCTCAGAAGCAAGGGGCATGGAGACTGGGGAAAGGGCTTTGAAATGAATGGCCACTGGTGACTCTGAAAAAAATAATGGCACAGAGTGACAGGGCTCAAGAGTTACCAAGGGTGAGTCTGTGGTGAGGAAGTAAAGTTAGTGACTCTGGATTACCATTCTGAGAAATTCAACAGGGAACTCACCTTGAAATCACTTAGAAGCTGAGAGTCAAACTGTTTGGAATAAAGATTGAATTGCTGAGTTATTAAATAAGGCACTTAAATTGGGAGTTTGAACTGTAGAATTGTTCATTTGTTTAATTTTTTTTAATAGTTCCCTTTGCAGAATATACATTTTGCACACAACAGTGAAAGGAGTTAACCACTATGCAAGTTATGACCTTGTGTGGGGTTTTGGGATTCAGTAAGCTTATTTATTCTTATCTTTGAGTTCTAGGATCAAAAATGTCAGTTGTGTAGGAAAGTAGCTTTTACTGCCCAGCATCCATTTCCAGGATCTGCTGTTAGTTCTTTAAGTGCCAGAAGAATTTGTAACTGCTCATTTTGACCCATAGCTTCAACAAGATCAAGGCAATATGGTGGACAGACAGTGTTGACTTAAGAAAAAGAGCATAGTATTTTGATTCAGGCCAATCTTTGTTCAAATTATGAATCTGCCACTTATTAGCTGTCTGACTTAAGGAAATTCACTTATCCGAACTTCAATCTTTTCATCTCCTAAAATGGGGATATTAATATCTATGAAATTATAGCATCCATTCATAGGTTCAACAAATATTTATTGAGCTTCTTTGTACCAAATACTGTATTATACGAGTATGCTGATGAATGAACGAATAATACATGAAAGCTTGTAACATAGCACCTCGCAGAATTATAGTTTGCTTCCCTGTTTCCCCAGCATTTGTCCTGAGGTTCCTGGTTGCTTTAGGTAATTGTATGTGTTTGAAAGGTAAAGAGAAAAACATTAGTCGTTTCTCCCCCGAGATACCTCCAGACTTCAATAGACATTGGCAGTTCCTAGCCTGTTTGTACTGAGTTAGAAAACCAGCTCCAGGGAGCAGCTCCTGACAGGGTGGCTGGACGCCTGACAGAACAACTCAGGTGGGCCACCAGCAACAAGCTAAGCCCTTTATCTATCCTAACCTGTTCCCCAAGCCAGGTCCCCTGTGTGAAAAGAAGTGGGAAACCTCGTCGGTCGCTGGCAGGAGGGTTAGGACCCTTCCCATTCAGAGTGGGCCGGCCACTGCGCCAGCGCAGGCTGTGTGGGGAGAAGGAAGGGCTCGTGAAACCTGGGTCAGCCGGGGGCAGCTGTCAACAAGTCGGGCTGGCCGGAGCCCCGGTGGCCTCCTGCCTGTGGCCCAGCCCTGTTGACAAATCTAGTTACAGAGGAGACATTGTCCTCCGTGCTCTCCAGGGAGCCGTGGAGCCTCTATACTCTGCCAAGAACCACAATTCTCCTTTAATACGTTCTCACTGGTACCTGTGCTGGGCACGGCTGGGCTTGGCTGGCCACAGTCTACAGGCATCATAACTGCAAGCAAGAAGAGTCGGTACATGATTGCAGGCAGAGCGACTGTCCAAAGAAGACCTGGGAGAGGTTTGACCTTGTCTGCCACTGCCTTGACCCCATACTGTGAGGAGAGGGACTGTTGTCCAATGCTGGCTTCATACCATTGTGTTGAAACCCCTCAGTCTTTTCTCCCAGTTTCCTCAATTTGGAACCTAGGACTGCTACCACCTGGGTCTCAAAAGACTCAGCAGAAAGGAAACCCCGTTACCTGTGAGTTATGGGAGAAGGTGTTGAAAAGAGCAAAGGCCCTATTGCCGGTACAGCCACCTCTTTTCCAGCCCTGGGTCCTTGGACAAGGTACTTAACCTGTCTCAGTCTTAATTTCTCAACCCGTACCAGGAAGCTAGTATAAACCCAGCCGTTGGGTGTATGGAGGGGAGTACTGTCAGGAATCCTAAGACCGTGTATGTCAATTATTTGGCATGTAATAGGTGCTCAACAGTTGTTAATTTCCAGCCTCTCACCTTAGACCCTAGAATTGGGTTACTAAATAAGTTTATATCATCATCTCATAATTAAGACTTGAGCCTCAGGAGCCAGAATGCCTGGGTTTGGCTCTGCCTCTTACTGGTTACGTGACCTTTGGACATGTTCCTGAGCCTCTCGGGGTCTCACTCTTCCCAGTGTGTTAATAAAACGGGAGTAATAGGACCCGCCCCGTAGGGTTTTGCGAGAGTGAAACGGGCTACTAATACCCATAAGCACTTTTAACACAGCCCGAAACATACAAGTAGTAGTTGTTGATTTGTGGTGTGAGTCGACACAATGATATTATTAGCTAGAAAAGCTAAAAAGGAAATAGTAACAAATTGTTTTTAGAAACATCATGACCAAAAGAAAAGAAGTGATAGTGACCAGCTTCTTTATGAATTGGAGCCTTCCTAAAGCTCAAAGCACTCGAATAAAGACTTGACGGAAATGGTTTGGAACAAAACTTACAGTACCTCTGAGGCCAGAAGAGACCTCTGGTCTGCGTCTTGAAATTCAGCCCCGTCTTGGTAAATGGCTCTGCCTCTGATTAGTTTGTTCTTACTGTCGCTCTCAGGTGGGGTAGGCCTAGCTGAGGAGCAGGAATGCTGACCTTTTTGAAATCCATCCTTGAGGTCCCCTTAACTTCAAAAGCGGTTGTTATGGGCTTGTTTTTCCCTCTGGTCTGATGCCGGAGTGTCCTCATTACCTAGCTGTCACACTCAGTTGGCCTGATTGACCAGAACCGTTTCCCGCCAATGTGCCTGACCTGCTTACCTCTGAGGAGGCTACTCACCGGGATTCAGGATTCGGGGTTGGGCGGAGGTAAGGAAACTGACTCGCCACCTCCAGCAGTGCTGGGCTCTCCTGTCACTCACTAAGTTGGTTGTCATTGCTGGTTCTAAATGGAACTGGATAAAATTAGGAAAGCTGTCCTAGGAGAACTTCAGCTTTCATAGAAGAGCCTGTGGGAGTTGACTGACAGCTCCCAGAGGCCACTTATAGGCCTTCGGTGAATGTTGGTTGAATGAATGAAGGGTTTATTGTTTGAAATCAAGGTTCACCGCCCTGTTATCTTCTTTTGCTCCATGTGTAAGAGCTCCTTTCTGCCTTTTAAACTTCAGTAAGCTGATGCTCTGCTCCAAGTGGGTTTTTCCTTTGCAGCGTTTACCTTCTCTTTAGCTGGCAGAGATGGGGTTAAGAATTGCTGGCAGCTAATCCACCTGGGTTTGAGGTCTACTTTCGCTGATTCTGGAAGAATGACTGGAATTTAAGGGGGAGGGGGAAAGATATCCTGACCTCTGCAGGCCCATCGGCCTGCAAACAGCATTGCCTGTTCACTTTCTCCCACTGAACTAATAGAGCGCCCCCAGATCTCTTCTCTGATCCACACCCTGCCGACCTGTTTAAGAACCTGGACGCAGGCTGTGGCTACTTGGATTTCTTTGTTTGCTGTGGAATATTGTGTATTTTGCTCTCATCTCTCAGTCTCTTGAACATTTTCTCTTTTTCCCCCACCCCTATCTTGCTCATCTGTTCAAATGCCCTCCTCCTCCCCAAACCTCCCAGGTCTGAGTGCATCAACAAGTTTGCATCAGTCTTTGGGACGATGCCTCTGAAGGTGGTGGAGCACCGAGCTGACCCTGTCCTGTACAAAGATGACTTTCCTGAGAAACTGAAGAGCTTTCCCAACATCGGCAGCTTGTAAACCCGCCCCGGTGGAGGTCTGAAGGTTAAGCTTGGACAAAGGATGAGAATGCAGCCTCCACGTACTGGATCTTGGCCTGTATACCCCCCAACGTACTTCCTCAAGATCAGGAACCCAGAGAGAAGATCGAAGCACCCTGAGCTGTGCATCCTCTGCTCTCGGGTTTCTTAGGATCTCCAACCGGTGCTTTTTGAAAATGCCGAACAGAAACCTGGCATGCTCCAGGTTTACATCCAGCTCAGGCTCCCTTTGTTTCCAGTTCCAACGTAACAGTCCAAAGGGGAACTCCCTGACTGTAGGACTGCTGAGGAGAGAAACCCACCAGGCCACGTTAGGTTTGGGGAATCATGGGATAGGTACCCATACCTCACTTTTAGTTACGTCAAATCAGTGAGCTCTTTGGAGGAAAAGCCAAGCCCAGAATTTGGTGCAAAATGCAAACATCGTAATGGGATTTGATGTGTGCCTTGGGCCCCGGGGCCCTGGACTCTTGCACCGAAGAGCACCAACTGCTAAATTGGGGTCCTATAAGCTCCATGAACTGTTCCTCTTTGGTGTGACTTTTTGATATGATTAAAATTGTTTTTTATTCCTTTTTCTACTATGTCTTAAACACTGATGATTGGTTGTCCAAGGAACTGTCTTCTTTTGTGCGTTTAATTCCGTCTTCTGACCTTAGCTCCAGCCTCCTACCCGTGTCTGAGACGACATATAGCCAGGAGGAGTGTCTGGTGCCGTGTGCCTCAAGCAGAGGAAGATCCCCAAACTAAACATTCTGAGGGAAGATGTCTCCCAAAACCTCCAAAGGAATTTGTTTGCTTCCTTATTAGATCCCGTCAATCTTTTGTAGATATTCTCAGGGAGAAACAGAGGGCCTCTAACAGCCATACACTTAGTCGCTCTAGCAAGTACCACGCTGTAAAAGTTGAGGGAGTCGTGAGCCCACCCCAAGGGGATGCCAAAATTTCCCTCATTCTTTGGGTATAAATGTAACGTTAGCCGGTGAGGTTCTGGCTAATGTTAAGTGCTGCTGTAACAACTGCTTTGCCATCGTTGCCGGTATACTTAAATCGTTAGATTTCAGCATTTAGTAATACTGCACATGTGTGAATTATACCTCTTTAAGCCTAGTTGATGAACAGATCTACTCTGGCAAATGTTAGATGTTATGGATTCGAAACAGATTTATCTGGCTCTAATATTAAGACTAGCCACAGTTTGAGCTTTAGCCATAACATATGTCCCCACAACACAAAATACATAACAATTGGCTTGGAATATGGATATAATTACCGAACCCTACTTGTGTGCCAGTCAGAATCACTACTATACCACCCATTGTTCTGTCGAGTGGCGTGAGGGTGAGCAGCAATTATGGTGTAGTTTTTAAACGTGCAGTTCTAACAAGTTCATCATTTCAAACGTGTTCTCACAGACTTTGAGGGGGTCAAAGAACAATTTTAGAAGTAGTAATATTGGAAGTGGAAATCATAAGAGCCTCATCTTCTTTTATATTAAGGAGTGACAATCGTGGGCTGTTACAGGTGGGAGGGAGAAGAGGTCATCTCATCCACTGCATTTATTGTGTAGCTGTGACGTGTTCACCGTCGGCAGCTGCAAACACAGGTGCTTAATACATACTTTAGATTTGGATAATTCTGTGCTAGTCAGAAGGGGGCATGGAAAGGCATTTTGGTCTCAAATTCATAACACTGGGGACGGGATGATAGAAGGCAAGAGAAAGTGTTGTCACCCAGATATCAGTAGCTGACACAATGAGCACCTCTAACCTTTCTAGGGGTTCTCTAGCTTGTCTTAAAATTTGGGGGCAGGTGGAGGGGAAGGGCCTCACATTGAAATCCTTGCTAAAAGCCAAGAACTGTGCTAACATCATATATGCGTTCTAGCACCTCAGCGTTCTTCCCTCAGCTCAGCTTCTTCAAACATTTCTGCCCTTTTTCATATCACTCAATGCACTACCTTAGTGACTGGATTCTAATCCAGGTCCCCTTAAGGGTACATTTTTTTCTTTTTCTTCACTTGTTAGCCCTTTGATTTTGGAAGAGGAACTTTAATCTGAGACCACTGGGACCTCCAAGGAGCTGTGTTAATGTGATTTTATCACCTTCTTAGGAGTCATTGGCCTTCTCGGCATTCAGACTCCATTGAAAGTACCTCACTACCCCCAGACACATTGGGGGCTAGATCTTACAGCATAGCATAGACAAGTTTATGTTATAGAATGGGTATTACCTCCTAGGCACTTGAAACAAACCTCCAAGGTTCTACCCTATGAACAGACAGGTGGTGCAGGTCACAGGGAGAAAGGCAGGCCGTGATTGGGGGATTCAGAGGGGCTAGTGGCCCCACCACCTAATTAGTGTTTTTCTGAGCTGCTCCCCAGCAAGCCTCACACATGAGCTTGGGTCACAATCATCTGCCCTTGGGATGTCATAGAGCCTGGTTTCAGAAGCAAAACAATAATGCTAATTAAAATGTCATGTCCTGGCCGACAGCAGACAACAGCTGGTTTTAGATTAAGAAATCTTTTTTAAGAAATTGCATCCTACTGGCCTGCACGAAAGATGAACCTGAGCTGCCCTTGGCCCAAATGGGTGCACTCAGCCACTTGCCCTCTGGGGCCTAATGGGGAGGGGTCTGCTTAGAATGCCAAGGCTGGAAACATTTTTTTGCCGGTTGACATTAGATAGTTGTTAATAGTCTTATCTCATCTCGTGTATTTTACTTAGCCTTACCCATGTTTAAGCAAAAGCCTCTTTTTCTAGGAAAATTTAAGAGGAAGATACCAATTTTTGTTCTCAGAATCTCTGGTCTTTCCTGCAAATGCTGCTATACTGTCTCCTCGTTTTATTCAGTGTCAAGACATTGAAAATTCTGACTACCCTAGATTCTCTGCCAATGCCTTATGTACCTCCAACTGGGCTTCAAACTGGCGGTTCTTAGGGGCTAGTTTCTTGGCTGCCTTTGGAAAAAAGCGACCATCCCACTGGCCTGTGTTGACCAGGCCTGGGAGCTGGAAGAGGCAAGCTGCCTCTTGGTGTTCATTCGCTAAAGGAGTTGCTGATAACCCCATGATGCCAGCTGTTTCCTGGGACGGTAGCCTCCGACGGGAGTATTCTTACCACTGAAAGATAGTGGATTTCTAGCCACAAGTTTTAAAGATCTGATTGCTGGGTTAAAATCCCAGGTCCTTTGATGGTTTTCAGCCAGTGTAGAATTAAGAAGTAGATGAAGTGGAGATCAGGTTTGGGAAGTGGTTCAGCTCTGGTGAGACTTCCTGGCTCTGCAGTCAGAAGACCCGTGGGAACCCAGCTGAGGGAGGAAAGGTTTTGGGTGTTGGGAGTTTCCCATCAGCCACCCATCTTAGCCTGGTGGGTTTCCTTTGTTTTGGGGACAGTGGCTTCTTTTTGGGGTAGGGTGCTTTTTCCATTTCTCTTGGCCCAGGTCATCTTCAGTTGCAGCAAAAGAAGCCACAGAGGCTGTTCCCCGAACAGCCCTGGCACAGAGCAGCCGAGACAGAGAGTGCTCAGCTGGCCCCAAGCCTCTTCCAGTCACTTCCTGAGGAGCAGCTCTGGCAGGAGTGCTGACCACAGTGGCAGGCAGCCGCCATCCAGGAAGGCTTTGGAACAACTTGAGCTTTCCACTGCAGGGCCTGGACGCGCATGAAATCTGTGGGGCCTGCCTGCTCACCTCCCCGCAGGGACCTGTTCCAAGCCCCGAGGCTGCCATGCTAGGTGAGTGGTGGATAGTCACCATTTTCTACATCTGAGTACAATCCAGGACACCTTTTGGCCCCGTTATGCCTACCGTGCACAGCCTGACAATCTGAACAGGCTTCTCTGAGCTGCTCCTGGCAGAGGAAAGGTCGGCAGGCAGGACTCCACTAAAGATTTTCCCCATCTCGAGGGTGGGAGCCGTCTAAGCTCAACCCACAACGTTTCTTCCACATCCGTTCAAAGGACGCTCGGGGATCCTCAGCTTCAAGCTTTGTGTCTTCCAGGTTCCCAGGGAGGGTGTGGGTATGTACTGGAACGTGATGCCATGGCTTATTCATGTCAGGCTCGTCATTGCTGGCAGCACAGGGAAGACGATGGGAGAGTCTGACCCCCTCTTCCAGCTTTCCAGGCTTCTTTTCAAGAAATAGGTAGAGCTTTTTCCTTTCTTCTTCCAACGGATTGGGCCCCTGGTTGCATTCTCCCCAGTCTCCCAGAAGAGCACAGAGCCATTAGAAGACAAATGGAAAGATGCTTGGTTGGCTTTCGAGAGGGACCAGGCAGCTGTGTCTGCTAGAGGTTTCCTCAGCAAAGCACAATTGAACTTCTCAGGAGCTTCACAGGGGATGACAGCTGCCAAGACAGCAGGGACTGGAACCCCTGTGGCTTAGACCGAAGCCATCAGGGAGTCCGCGCCCCATATAGAGCCTTCTCTTCAAATACAGGCAGCCGCTGACTTAACAGTGGTTCGACTTTACAAATTTTCAACTTCACAATGGTGTGGAATTGATACTCATTCAGTAGAAACCGCACTTCACCCTTTGAATTTTGATGATTTTGCCCAGGTACACGCTGATGTCAGTGTTCTGAGCACATTTCAGGTAGGCGAGGCTGAGCTATGATATTCAGTAGGTTAGACGTATTAAATGCATTTTCTACTTCGGACATTTTTTAACTTTCGTTGGGTGTATCAGGACATAACCTCATCAGAAGTCAAGGAGCATCTGTAAACCTATTTGGGCTTTTATTTGTAGCCACCAACATAGACCATTAGCCACCATACGCAAGGATACACTCAGTGGCACCTGGTTTTCTGGTAATCACAGCTGAAGAACAACCAACTAGCTACTGATCTGGGTGAGGTAAGAGCATTGATTCAGTCGTTGAGTTTTCCTAATCATTCATTCATCAAAATGTACTCTTCCAGGCTCTGTGCTAAGTCCAGGACAGGAGTCGGCAAACTTTTGGGATGGAAGAACCGCCAGGGGTCAGCAAACTGCGGCTTGCGAGCATGTGGCTCTGAGGTAAAATTGAAAATGAAAATAAAACTATCATAGTTTCATTTATAAAAATTTTAAAGGCTATTATTCACATAATGGTGATTATGTAAAAATATATTTATGGCTCTTGAATAATTTTTAAATTATTGTGAGAGACAGGATTGGCTTTTCCAGGGGTCGACAAACTTTTGAGACGGAACATATACCCAAAGAGCTGCATGTGGCTTGCGAGCCGCAGTTTGCCGACCCCTGCTCTAGGAGGCAGAGAGATGAATGAGACGCTACCTTGAGCTCAGGGAGCTCCAATTCCAGCGGTGGTTCTTGAGCTCTGTAAGAAGGTGTGAGCCCATCAGTGGCTCAGGACCCTACACACACTTTTTTGGTCCCAGCTGTAAATGAGTATTATTAACCATCTTCTTCAGAGCCTGGAAGATGCAAGGATTTATTATTTCCCCTTCTCATAGCACCTTCCCTTGAGTTGTACCCTTGGCCTTGAGGGAGTCCACTCCCGTGCCTGAGTTTCCTCAGCCAGAAATTAGACGAGAGCACTTAGATTCGGGGTAGTGAGATGGAATGATGTATCAGAC